TCAAGTTGGAGGACGATGTGATCTATTGATACATTTTCTACCCAGAAAGCCATCGATGGGTTCCCGTTGTACCACGCGCACTACGCACTGAAGTTCTGCCCGCTTCACTAGACGACCCGATGTCAGGCCACTTTGGTTACTAAAAACCTACGAGCGCATCCACAGTCGATTCTTCTGCCAGGTCTTTCCACGACCGTGGCTAAGTATATTGCCTCGTGCGCATTTTGCCAGCACCGCAAGCGGCCCACTACTGTTCCAGTCGGGACCCTACAACCACTTCCTTGCCCAGCAAAGCCATTCTCTGTCGTCGGAATCGACCTCTTCGAACCCCTCCCAACTACATCAGACGGCAAGAGATGGATCGTCACCTGCGGTTGATCACCTGACCTGTTACGCTGAAGACAGCCTCGATCACTTCAGGAACTGCTTCTGAAGTAGCAACTTTCTTCTTGAATGCTATTTACCTACATCACGGGGCTCCTTATGTTTTTTTTTGAACGACCGAGGCAAGGCATTTCTTTCAAGCACGCTCAGTGAAGTTCTTCAAGCATCAAAAACAGTTCATAAAACAACATCTTGCTATCACCCCCAAACCAATGGCTTAACAGAGAGATTTCATCGCACGCTGTGCGCTGTGCTGTATATCAGAATTCGTACAGGTCCTTGAAATCCTTGAAAACCCTTGAATTTGAAAATTTCATTTTCAAGGCCCTTGAAAGTCCTGGAATTTTCAGCCATCCTTGGAAATCCTTGAATTTTTTAAGCAGTGCACTTTCATATCGGCATCGCAACCTCCTGATTGTGGTACATTGGTGTGTGAACCTGTCACTCCTTATTTCTGCAGCAGTAATGCATCGTGGGTGCACATGGTCCCATTTAGCAAAAGTGTATGTGAAAAAAAAAAAATGTTTGTGGCGAGGGCGAAGCATTGAATGTGATAGCAAGAAATTAGAATATCACAAGAAGAAGGGCAAGCAACCTCATACATGCAACGCGCCGCTCAAGCACGAAGGATGCACGAAAATAAAGTGCACAGGACGAGTGTTGATAAACCACTGTCACAGCTCGACACTGGAAGCGTGTTGCTTAAACAAACCAAGAAGGGTGCTAGAAGAAAACACACATGTATCCACTGGATAAGTGTAAATTAACCACTGTCACAGTTGTTACTTCTTAGTCGTTGAGCAACGTGCTGTGAGTGTCAACTGTGCACAAGCCAAAGCTCCTTATAGGGTGGTGCCATCAAATTTCAAGGCTATAGCAAGCGCCGTGTGGGTATAAGAATATACGTTAAGTCACTTCCCAAGGGTACCTAAATGCTCATTTCTTTAATTGAGGTCCATCGCCAGCGCGTCCAACACTGACGTAGCTCTATGGGAAGGGCAACGAAAGTTCCAGTGACGTCAGTGACCTCCGGACTTCCGCCCCGTACATACTGGCAAAGCATTGCAGCTGCTGGGGGTAGCGGCGAGTTTGTTTTGCAGCTGCTTGTGTGGCACATGTGTGCGAGAACTGACAATACTCAGCATGACGGGTGCAAAGCTTTGTGATCACGTGACTAAGTCAGCTACACTGCTACGTACTTGCCCAACTCGATCCCCACAAACAGGAACTGAATATTGTCCATATCAAAAAGGCGACAAATTATACAGCGAGAATAAATGAACCTTAGTGTGTGTATCGTGCTTATGGGAGCTGTAATTATAGCTTGCAGCAAAGGGCGTGCAAGTCACAGGTATTGTGGCACGACTCCTTTAAGGCGTGACTACACATGAGCGTTGAAGTCCATCAGCGCGTAACTTTTGACATGGCATCGTGCCTTCTCTCTATAGAGAGGGTGGGAGAAGTCATTGAGACTACGCTCTTTTTTTATAATTACAATATTCATATATTTATTGCAAGTGCTTATTGTAAGCATGCTGCTTCGAGTCCTTGAAAAACTTGCAGCAGGTCATGGAAAGTCCTTGAATATCCTCGAATTTCACTTTGGAAACCTGTAGGAACCCTGTCTATGTATATTCGACCTGACCATCGCAATTGGGATGCCATTCTTCCCTTTGTCACGGATGCATATAATACGTCAGTTCAACGAACCACAGGCTATTCTTCATTTTTCCTAGTATATGGACGCCAACGGACATCACCACTTGACATTTCTTTTTGTTCTGGCCCCGTGAACTCTTCGCCATTTGTTTGCGACCAGTTTCTGCTCCATGTTGCTCAATGCCGTCGTCTTGCCCGTGTAAACACCGAAGCTAGCCAAGAAGATCGCAAACATCGTTACGATGCCACTCACCGCGTCATTCTCTACCGCCCTGGCGACGATGTACTTCTGTGGACTTCTGCGCGAACGCCTTGCTTATGCCAGAAGCTTGAGTCACGCTATCTTGGTGGCCCCTACAAAGTTGTCGAACAGACCTCACCGGTGAACTACCGTGTCACACCTGTTCATGCCCCCACTGACCAACGCTGCCGCGGGACAGAGATTGTGCACATTTCGTGTCTCAAGCCCTAACGTATGCGTTCCACAGCGTAATTCGCGGCCAGGCTGGCCGCTTCCGTCGACGGGGGAAATTAGTGTAAGAATTCATTGGACGTCGTCTTCCTCATCTGTCAATAACCATCATCAGTCTTCGTCCCGTTACTCATCATCATCGGCGCCATCTTGCTGTTGCTTGAATAAAGCGTCAGCTGAACCGTGGTATTTCAAGATATATATATATATATATTATATATATATATATATATATATATATATATATATATATATATATATATATATATATATATATATATATATATATAATTGATTGATATGTGGGGTTTAACATCCCAAAACCACCATATGATTTTGAGAGACGCCGTAGTGGAGGGCTCCAGAAATTTTGACCACATGGGGTTCTTTAACGTGCACCCAAATCTGAGCACACGGGCCTACAACATTTCTGCCTCCACCGGAAATGCAGCCGCCGCAGCCGGGATTCGATCTTGTGACCTGCGGGTCAGCAGCCGAGTACCTTAGCTAGCCACTAGACCACCAAGGCGGGACTATACATATATGAGGTAGCAGCTATATATATATATTGTCACAGGTAATGGGTATGAGCCATGAACTGTAGGTGGAATCCCTTGGAAGTGAAGAAAGAAGAGGGCTTTTGCGTCCTGGTCTGAGGGCAAGCAAGACGTCGTTGGTTTGACTCGCCTGGTTGTTAGTTGAAGTTGCCATATCGTCTTGAGAGAGGGGACCGTACTCGGGAGATAGTCCTCGCAGGCGGCGACTGCTTCGTGCCGTGGGAGCTGTAGCTGTCTCCAAGTAGCTCGGTGTGTCGGCTGAAAATCTGCAGCCGAGGCGCATTTACCCAGCACTTCCACCAGTGCCGCGAACGTAATAACAGACAGCGACGAAAAGACGTCTTGCTTGCCCTCAGACCAGGACGCAAAAGCCCTCTTCTTTCTTCACTTCCAAGGGATTCCACTTACAGTTGATGGCTCATACCCATTACCTGTGACAATATATATTATAATATAGTGAGAGTAATAATTCAATGGGCCAGTTAGTCTTCTTGAAGGTATGGGATATGGCACAATTGGTGACAAAGATTGATAGCTGGAGACCATGCTTGTTTTTTCTGACTGACTCGTACGTGTACACTGTCCTTTCTTGTTTTTTTTTCTCTTCTTTTTTTCCTTTTTTTCTTTTTTTCACATGCACATACAAAGTGGTTCTGTTCGCCTACCACTTCATGACCATTGAAGGGAAACGGACGAAGATGAAAGAGAGCCGATTGACCCATTAGGGGAAACCCTTTCCTTACGCACGCCATCACGGACCCCTCCCGCCACCGTGGCGACAATCTTGGGTGGCCCGACACACACCGAGAACTGACCAGCACGGGATAGAAACAGGATGTGGACGTACACGGACATTTGGTTTTGTTCTCAGTGTTGACAGTGGTTCTTCGTCTTTCTTACTTTCTTTTCTCTTTCTTTTTTTTCTTTTTTTCTTTTATTCTTTTAGTCTTTTTTCTTCTCTTTTTTCTTTTTTTAGTTCTCTCTCACTCTCGCAAACATCATCAAAGGCGAGAGGGACGCGGCAGCAACGAAGTTTGGAAGTTCGTGTTAGTATAACTCATCCCCTGATGAAGGAGGACCCCTCCCGAAACTGTTGGGAAATAAATATATTTATCCTTGTTGACAACGCTCGCGTTGTGCCATATCCCATACCTATATTATAATATGTGTGTGTGTGTGTGTGTGTGTGTGTGTGTGTGTGTGTGTGTGTGTGTGTGTGTGTGTGTGTGTGTGTGTGTGTGTGTGTGTGTGTGTGTGTGTGTGTGTGTGTGTGTGTGTGTTTAAGAAACATCATTTTCAAGGGTAGTAACATATTGTTAGGGACAAAAAAGCAGAGTGGGCAAGGGAGAAATGGATATTTAGGACATCTCAATCAAAATCAAGAAGAATTTGACATGGACAGGACATGTAGCGCATAGGCAAGATAACCTCTGCATATGGCCATTAAGAGCCGCTGTTCTGGATTCCATAATAATAAAATTTCTTTGGGTTTAACATCACAAAACCATCATATGATTATGAGAGATGCCATAAAGGAAGGCTCTGGAAATTTCGACCTCATGTGGTTTTTTAACATGCACCTAAATCTGAGCACACAAGCCTCAAGAATTCTCGCCTCCACTGAAAATGTGGCCACCGCGGTCAGGATTTGATGCCGCGACCTGCGGGTCAGCAGCCGAGTGCCTTAGCCACTAGACCGCCGTGGCAGGTAACTGTCTGGATTCTAAGAGAACACAAATGTGTGAGGGAGAGACAGTAAGTTAGGTGGCCAGCTTAGATTAAGAAGTTTACAGTTTTGAAGTAGCAGCTGCAAGTAAGGTCTGGGTTGATTGGAGAATCATAGGAGAGAGCTTTTCTTAACAGTGGGCGTAGTCGGGCTGATGCTGGTGAACATTGTTTTTATTTCTGTTTTTTTTTTCCCCTATTAGATGTCATCCACACGGTCGGTCCAGTCGGTGAGAACGAGGCCAAGCTGCACAGCTGCTACCTCACGTGCCTCGAAACGCTTAAGGCCCACAAGCTGCGCTCAGTGGTGAGGACCTAGCGGCCATTGCGAGATTTTGGGCAAAGCTGTGCCTTCATCATCATAATGAGCTCTATTGTGGCTGACTGCCACAGTGTCACATTTGATGGGTTTATTGTAAATGAATATTATGTATCACCGATGTAGCCAACTTAACCTGCTCTGGCAAGCTACGTAATCTAAAACGAAAAGCCTTGAGGTGATAATAAACAAAAATATTATTTATTTATTTTTGTTGGATTCTGTGAGCCAAAACAGGCCCATACAGGAGTGAACAATGAGTACATAGGTCAATTTCACAATAGCATAAGAGAAACACAGTTCAGCACACTTCAGCACAGTGTTATGCAACGAAGTCTTAAGCGAAAAACAACAGGGAACAACATTTTCACATAACTCAGTGTGGCATACAGACAAAACTAGCAGTGTCATGGTGAACTTAGAATTTCACAATAGCATAAGAGAAACACAGTTCAGCACACTTCAGCACAGTGTTATGCAACAAAGTCTTAAGCGAAAAACAACAGAGAACAACATTTTTACATTACTCAGTGTGCCATACAAACAAAACTCACAGTGTCATGGTGAACTAAGAAATAATAAATATGAAGCTATGATAAGGACCATTAAAATTGCACCAACAAAAACTTACCTGTATTGGTAGATGAAGTCTATTTTACGCATTCTTGAGCAGTTGGTCGTATTTTCATGGGATTGCGAGTGCACGGCAGCTGCTTGCTTCGAGCTGCACGTTGACTGTCGTGATGGCGGTGAAAGCAAGGTTCACACTTTCCTGTCCTGACACTCTTCTTTTTCCATGTATCCTTTATGGTGCATTCAAGCGACGGACCAAATCCGTATGTGGATAGGCACGGACGGCGCATCACATGACCTCAAGTCAGTGATTGTCCTCATCCGCGCCTCGTTCGTATCCGCGCCTCATCTGCGCCTCGTTCTCACCTCCTCTCCCCTTGCCCCTCCTTCACCTTCCATTATTCTTGACTTCATCTCATCTTTCTTCGCGGCTTATTCAAATGAGATTGAAGGTAGGCTCAGCTGACTCCAAGAGTGCCTATGCAGTCACTCACATTATGCATAATATCTCCTTAAAAGCAAGAGCGCATAGCTTTTTTGTGTGCAAAGCAGAGGATTGGGAGGGGAGGTGTTGAGGAGGGAACGGGTTGTGCAAAGCGATTGGCTACTCCATCCCTGTCAGTGGCCTATGGGATGATAAAATAGGATTTGCAAATCAGGCGAGATGCCAGTGATGAACGTGATTGATAAAAAAACAGAGCATAAAGAGAAATAACGAGAAAATGATGCAAGAATACTTTTGGGTCACACAAGCAAGAAACGCTGACTAGGGTAGTTGGAAAGAAAATTACCACTCCGATTCTTCTCAAATTCCAGTCAAAAAAAGTGAATGGGTCCAACTGGTCATACCAGTTCCCATGAATTGGTCCCAAATGGCATTAATTGGAAGCCAACTGGAATGCTGAACTTCAATAGGAAAGACCAATTGGACCTTATAGTTCCAATTGGCCAGTCCAATTGGTTCACCGCTGACCATTTGATCTCCAATTGGAATGCTTGTTAGTCCAATTGGCTGCCCACATTCCAATTGGAAAACCATTGGAACAGTGCATTCCAATTGGCCTCCCAATTGGCATCCCAAATGGTGTGCTTGTTGGTCCAATTGGTTGTACAACTACAATTTGGGAGAGTGTTGGAACATTGTTCTTTCAATTAAAATTTGTTTCATATACATAAAAGTTGATATTTGTTATTTACATGGCAACTTAATTTGCTATAGGCCAGGGCAGAATTCCAGGCTCAAGTAATTGTCATGATTCTTATATATTGGAGTCAATTGAGCCATGTATACATATTTTGAATTGAAAACTTCATTGTAGTGTGCATTAGGTTATGTTCTTCAGTCATTTATGTTCCTTATAAGCAACTTTTTTTTCTAGAGCTGTGGCGTTTACTATAAGGTACATTTTAACTCAAAACAGTGGGACAGTTATAGCATTAACAGTTAACATGAGTTTGAATATGGTACAATTAAAAATGCAGCTAGTTCTGCTGGTTTGTGACCTATAGCTGTGCTCATAGAAGCAGTACTTTCAGTCTCCTGCTGGGTGATTGCCTGGACAAAAATAGGCCCATTGCTACATGCAAGCTTCATCACTTGTTTTTGTCATTTTTTTTTCTTGGATATTTTGTGTAGACGAAGTAATAGTCACTGATGTGGGTATAAAATTAAAGGTTGAAGTTGGTGCACGAAAGCTGTAGTGCAAACGGAGTGTAAAAATCCAGCACAGCACACATGTTGTGGGAATTAGTCATATGCGAAGCAGTCAGCATGCGTCAGCCAATGCTGGAAATTTCATTTTGAGCCTTCAGCGTTACGAGGTGGATAGACATCTTTGTCCCAATTGATTAGCTCTGTGCATATTGTAGACTTTCCAGGCACATCAAGTACACTGACGCGTGAAAGGTAGCTTATGGCACAACATAACATCAGTGTTCCCATTGGAGCTTGCACTTCAGTTATATTACCATGAAGTGCATGCTATCGAGTGATGATGTGCTTATATACAGACAAGTGCAACCCTTGAATATTGCTCGCACAGTCCTAAGTGCACATATGTAAAGCTTATCACATTGATATAAAACAGGAAAGCCAACTCTGCAACTACTTTGTCCTGACAAGGTATTTTTCATTGTACAAGGTATCTTTCTAAAGTAGTTTGAAGCAGTGACTGAGTGGAGGCTGCCATGCAGAATTCCAGGGTTTGATTCTGGCTTCACCCACGATTTTTATTTTTTGCTGCCATCTGGATATTTCGCGACATGAGCTCATTCACACTGTTGTGTTAAGATTTCCAATGTCTGGGCTGATATAGCCTGTGAATCACTCACAGCTAGTGGTGTGTGAATAGTGAAATTTCATCTTTGATTCTAATGACGCCGAATAGTGGCCAAAATATAGAATACGTAACATTTTATTGAAAATTGAAAGGAAGAACAAATTAATGAAGTCAGCTTGTATCCTCAAGCACATAACGCAGTAAGTGAATGCTGCCGAATGACAACAAATTGTCCTATAATAATACTGTTGTCCTTCATCGTTCCAAGTGCTTCATGCCCAAAAATGGCAGCATTTCTTGCCTAATTATAGGTCTTGATATATCTTAATGGATAGACTATGCAACCTCTTTCTGCACAGTAGTGCTTTTGAAATTAATGAAATCACAGCAGTATAACCTTGGTGCTGTTTGTACAACAGAAGACAACCACGCATTTCCGAGAAAAGCTCGTGGCATTCCACCACAATATGTTTATTAAAATGGGCAAAAATACAACAAGTCCAGGCATAAGAACACTCAAACAAAACACAAAAATAATAATATGCATGAAATATATGTACATATGTAAAAAATAATACACAAATGCACAAAATTTGCACATAGTTGCATCTGAAATTAAATTACAAATTAACAGTGCACATAAAATTTCACAAGGTATAGCAACTTGAATGACATATGCCACTCTGACAAAACTGAGTGCCGAATACCCACTGCACACTGGCCATGACGTGCTTGCATTTAGGCAACTCAGACAATTTTAAGAGGTCAATGGATTTCCGTAAAATTTGCTGGTTAGCAATTTCCTTTACGTGACCTGCAGTTTCTGAGCATGCATGATCTTAGTTTTTCCTACGTTTAATTTAGTTTCAATAAAGTTCAATTGTTAGGCGGCGCTCATACTGTGTCCTCGTCCTGCGAGATGTCGTGTTCGCACCAAGTTTCAATGTACGGTCACTCACACCAGTGTCACTAGAGCTGCAATGCTGCTCATGTGCACAAACCCAGCTTGTAGTGCTATTATTTCACATAATGATGCCACAGAAGCATGGCTTTCATTATATATGTATCAAGAGTACAATGAGCAGCCACTGTACCTGCTTATGCAAACAAATGCACCAGTTGTTTTGCACTATCACTAGCACTCTTCCAAGGAAAATGAGCAAATGGAGAAAGCAGTGCCCCATAATCTCTTAGTGATTACACCTATGGCTTACTCAAAAAGGGCTAAAACACCTAAAATAGCTTGCTTAATTTTGAATGGCCTGGCAAAACAGAAAGAATTTACGATCGAAAACGATACATTCGAGAGTACACAAGAATATGTATACCTAGGACAACTACTCATGGGAGAACCTAACCACAAAAAAGAAATTCACTGAAGAATAAGAATGGGCTGGAGCACATTCGTCAGGCACTCTCAAATAATGTCAGGAAATCTGCCACTATCATTAAAGAGAAAAGTATACAACCATGGCATACTGCCAATTCGGATGTATGGTGATAAACCATGGAGAATAATGAAACAGCTAGAGCGAAAGCTGAGGACCACGCAGCGTGCAATGAAACGTAGAATGGTAGGAATAACAATGAGAGACCGGAGGATGGTAGCATGGCTAAGAGAACAGACAGGAGTTGCAGATGTCCTAGCTGACATCAAGCGAAAAAAATGGACCTGGGCTGGTCTTGTAATGGGCTGGAGCACATTCGTCAGGCACTCTCAAATAATGTCAGGAAATCTGCCACTATCATTAAAGAGAAAAGTGTTCACCAGACAACTGGTGAACAATAAGAGCAACAGAATGGTTACCAAGCGATGGTCAACACAGTTGGGGAAGGCAGGGAGTTAGACAGAGCGACATAATTCGGAGGTTCCCAGGAATAAAATGGAATTAGCTCGCACAGGATATGGTAAACTGGAGATCATTGGGAGAGGCCTTCAACCTGCAGTGGACTAACACAGGCTGAGAATGATGATGATGCCCCGCCGCGGTGGTCTAGTGACTAAGGTACTCAGCTGCTGACCCGCAGGTCGCGGGATCAAATCCCGGCTGCGGCGGCTGCATTTTCGATGGAGGCGAAAATGCTGTAGGCCCGTGTGCTCAGATTTGGGTGCACGTTCAAGAACCCCAGGTGGTC